TACGCCAGCCCCGAGCGCTCAGACGAACGAAGAAGCCGGGCCCCTCCACCTCACCGGCGCCGACAAACCCAGTCTCTTTGCACCTCTCCCGAAGTGACACCCCTGATACCCCAACCGAAGAACACGGATCGCAAGACCTTTTTGCCAACGAAGATGGCTTCCGCATTCCTCTCTCCGACGATGGCAACGAGAGCGTAGACGCCGGTATGCCCGCCGACAAGGGCTCCCCCCGATGGGGTGGCAGTGCCAACCAGCCAATGTCCCGAGCGAGCTCTCCGCCGCCAGCGCTGATTGCTGAGCACAGTCGGACCCTGGAGAAGGCGCGTGAGCTCGGCCGCCAGGGCGTCATTCAGCCCCGTGCTATTGCTCGCAGTGACAGTCATGATCGAGTCTTTGCGCACGCCAATTGGAAGATTGTCAACGCTGATCAAGGTAATGGTGGTCTGCGCAATGCTGCCGACGCCGCCGCTCGTGACGGTAAATTGGGTGACTACACTTGGGTCGGGACTCTCGGCATGCCTACCGACGCACTCGAAGGAACACAGCAGAAGCAAGACATCGAAGACCACCTAGCGACCGATCACGACATGCTGACAGTCTTTGCTTCCGACAAGGACTTTGATGGCCACTACTCACATTTCTGCAAACAAATTCTGTGGCCAGTCTTTCACTACCAGATCCCAGACAACCCCAAGAGCAAGGCTTTCGAGGATCACTCTTGGAAATACTACGTCAATGTCAACCAGGCGTTTGCGGACAAGATCGTTGCCAACTGGAAGCGCGGCGATGTCATTTGGGTGCACGACTACCACTTGCTGCTCGTGCCCGGCATGGTTCGCCAGAAGCTACCCGAGGCCAAGATTGGCTTTTTCCTGCACGTTGCATTCCCTTCCTCCGAGGTATTCCGATGCCTCGCCGTGCGCAAGCAGCTTTTGGAAGGCATGCTGGGTGCAAACCTCGTCGGCTTTCAGATCCATGAGTATGCTCGTCACTTCCAGCAGACATGCAGTCGCCTTTTGGGCGCCGAGGCCACGCCCGACGGCCTTCAGCTCGAAGATCGTTTTGTCGATGTCGTGAACTTGCCAATTGGAATTGACCCCGTCTACATTCGGGAGCGCCGCGCCAACAACAGCGTGAAGAAGTGGATCGAGACCATCAGAGAAAGGTACAAGGGCAAGCGGCTCATCGTCGCCCGCGACAAGCTTGACCACGTTCGAGGTGTGCGCCAGAAGCTGCTCTCGTATGAGCTGTTCCTCAACAAGAACCCACAGTGGCGTAACCAAACGGTCCTCATCCAAGTGGCCATGTCGAGCAGCGAGAAGAGCGACCTTGATGCCGCCGTCAGTGACATTGTCACCCGTGTCAACTCGTCGTGGGCCAATTTGGCATATCAGCCGGTCGTGTACCTCAAGCAGGACATTGACTTCCCGCAGTACCTCGCACTCCTTACGTGCGCCGACGCGCTCATGATCACGAGCCAGCGCGAGGGGCATGAACCTGACATCTCACGAATATCTCTTCTGCCAGGATGGCGAGGTTCTGCCGGACAAGAAGCACGGCTCTTTGATCCTGTCCGAGTTCACAGGCACATCATCCCTCTTCGGGCGGCCACGAGCTCGCCGTCAACCCCTGGGACTACCGCGCATGCGCCGATGCCATCAAGCAGGCGCTCGAGATGAGCGATGAGGAGAAGGAGCGTCGCTGGACCAAGCTCTACGAGGCCGTCATGCATCACACGGGTTCGCACTGGTTCTCCGAGTTCCTTTCGCGCCTTGACCTTGTGCACGAGGAGCAGCACAAGCGCGATCAGACGGCGGTGCCGCGCCTCTCAATCGGCACGCTCACGCAACGGTACAAGCGCAGTGAGCGACGTCTCTTTATCCTCGACTACGAGGGCACACTCGTCAGCTGGGGTCCGATGAACCAGATCATCCCTGTCAGCCCGCAGCGCACGGTCGATGTGCTCAATGACCTGCTGCTTGACGATCGCAACACGATCTACGTCATGTCGGGGCGGCGACCCGAGGAGCTCGACCGCACTTTCCGGCGCGTGCCGAACCTGGGCCTCATCGCGGAGAATGGGTGTTTCCTCAAGGATTGCGGTAAGAGCACGTGGCAGGTGATGGCCGACGCCGAGCAGATTCGCAGCTGGAAGGCGTCAGTCAAGTCCATCATGACGTACTACCTCGAGCGAACGCCGGGCGCCGTGATTGAGGAGCGTCGCTGCAGCCTCGTGTTCCACTACAAGGGCGCCGAAGATTACGATTCTGCGGCGCGGCAGGCCAGCGACTGCGCCAGCCACGTCAACGACGCGTGCGAGGCGCAGCGCGTGCACGCCATCCCTCTCAACGGGTGCATCATTGTCGAACCGATCGACTGGACCAAGAGCACGGCGGCGGAGCGCATCTTTGAGGACCTCAAGGCGGGCATGGCGCCTGATGAGCAGCACAAGGGCCCCGTCGACTTTCTCATGGTCATGGGCGACGGGCGAGACGACGAAAAGGTGTTCAAGTGGGCCAACACGCTCGCCGACGAAGGCGTGGTCAAGGAGGTCACAACGGTGACGCTGGGCAAGCGCGGCAGCACCGAAGCGACGGCGACCCTGACGCAGGGTGTCAGTGGTGAGTGGACGTGGCACGGCGTTTCTCAGTGCTACATGCTAACGACGGACAGGTGTTCTCTCTGCCCTCGAGCGGCTTGCGTCTATTTAGAGAGGCAAACCAGAAGGGTGTTTCTCCAAGACATGATGAATTAACGAAGACTGAGGAACATTTTGGGGAAGGAGGGCTATTTTATTTGGATTTTGCTCGGCGTTGGGGGGAAGGGCGAAAGGGAATATCTCCATGCTGACACGCAGAGCCGGGTCTCGCCGATGACGATGAAGAGGGGAGGGAGCAACAGATGAAGCCAGGGCGAGGCAAGCGAGTTGCATTCCTTTGGCCCGCTATTGTCGATGTCCCGAATCAATACGCGCTGCAACGATATGATTGATGTGACGGGATGCATCAACGTTGATGTGAGAAAGGCCCTTGGAGGAAGGCATGCGAGACCATGGGATAAAGTGTAGAGTGTGTGTGTCGGCGATCTCATCTCATTATACTTTGACCGCTCTCACGAGTACCGTGTAGGTGTAGAGTTCGAGCGTGGGGTTTTTGGAATTTGAGTTGATACAGTTTGCTCGCTTCTGGGTGCTGCCGTAGTGACGATGAAAGGACCTGTGGAGGTTGGTAGAGACCAGTGGGAGGAGAGATGACATCATGCGCGAGCGCGCCCTCTGGGCCCCTGAAGCTTGGAGGTACGTATCGGGAGCTTGGGCCTGTAGCTGTTCGGCTCACTCCGAGCAGAGCACGCCGGCGGCCAGAGCGCTCCAACCAGGGCATGTTTCCCAGCGCGGTGGTGCCTTCCACCATCTGCCTCGTACCCCGCAGCCCGACATCGGCGCTGCCCCAGAACTTTTTCGATGGCACAGAGTGGAGGGGGGACTCGAATGACTCGAATGACTCGGAAGCCGGAACCTCGCTGCCGTGAGACTCGACTCCCTTGGGCCAATTGACACCATTTCATCGTTGTTGGAATAACTTTCGTCAGATTGTACCCCTCTACGAACCGACTCTGCCGGCCTCCAACCTGTCCTCTTTGCCTCGACCACCCCGCCAAACCTGATCGTACCTACAGCTGCTGCCACGTCGGGAGAGCTTCAACCGTCTCCCATCACCAGATATCCAGACGCCGCCCTCAACCCCGCAGTCGGCCTCGCCAGAGCACCCTCTCAAGATGGCTGCCTTCCCTCCTCCTCCCACCGACACCATTGACTGGGCCAATGTCGGCTTCCAGGTCCGCGAAGGTACGCACTCTATGGCCATGGCTCCAGGCATTTGCTGCAGGCCTTGGCTCCATGACTCGGCGCCAGGCCTTCAGGTCCCATGAGCCCATGGCCCTACTCTGTGGTGTTCCTCTTCTGACAGCCGGCCCCTCCAGTCAACGGCCACATCGAGTCCACCTACAGCAAGTCGACCGGCCAGTGGACGCCGCTCAAGTTCGTGGCGTCGCCCTTTATGCGCATCCACGGCATGGCCCCGGCCCTCAACTACGGCCAGCAGGCCTACGAGGGCCTCAAGGCCTTCCGCGGCCCCGGCGACAACACGATCGCCCTCTTCCGCCCCGACCGCAACGCCCTGCGCCTCCAGCACTCGGCCGACGTCGCCTCGATGCCCCGCGTCCCCGAGCAGATCTTCCTCGACGCCTGCCGCGCCGCCGTCGCCCTCAACGCCGCCTTTGTGCCCCCGCACGCCACGGGCGCCGCCATGTACGTGCGCCCCCAGATCTACGGCTCGAGCGCCCAGCTCGGCCTCTCGCCGCCCGACGAGTACACCTTTGCCGTCTTCGTCATCCCGACGGGCGTCTACCACGGCGTCCACCCCGTCAAGCCCCTCATCCTCGACGAGTTTGACCGCGCCGCCCCCCACGGCACCGGCCACGCCAAGGTCGGCGGCAACTACGCCCCCGTGCTGCGCTGGAGCGACAAGGGCCCGCGCCGAGGCTACGGCATCACGCTGCACCTCGACTCGGCCCGCCACGAGGAGTCGACGAGTTCAGCACGAGCGGCTTCATCGGCGCCAAGAAGAGGGCGGCGCCGCCGGCGCCTACACCCTCGTCGTCCCCGACTCGCAGTGCGTCATCGACTCGGTCACGAGCGACAGCATCCAGCACATTGCGCGGTCCCTGGGCTGGGCCGTCGAGAAGCGCGTTGTACGTTCCCTTCTGATTTGCTTCTGCTTCTGCTCCTGCTTCTGCTTCTGCCTTTTGCAGCCTCTTGCCCCCT